CGGACAACAGGATTGGCAGTGAGTCAACATTTAAGGGCATTTCTGGTGGCGAAATGAAACGCTTGTCATTTGCAACAGAGAGAGAGAGAGAGATTGTATACATAACCCTAACCCCTGGTGCCCATGAAAGCGAGCCTTCCGTTAGTCATAAGTAATAAGTGATCGAAAAGTGCGAACACTTGAGACGACGGCTGATGTATTGTGAGAGAGAGAGAGAGAGAGAGATTCATGTGTTAATGTAATCTAATATATCTATATAATCTATATAATCTATACAGTAAACTGTAATTTTATGATAACTTTAAGTAATGTTATGAGAAAATTATATACTTTTAAAATTTTAAACTACCTTATACTATAGGGTCTAATCATTTGAGTAGTATCTGTATATTAGGGCTAAAGGCTGTTTAATTTATTGCTCATACCCTGTCCCTGATGCAATTCAATCATTTGGTTGGCATATATTTCACACGCTTTTTGTTGTAAATGTTGAGGCATTTGTTGAACCACTTTCTCTAAGGCCAAGAAATAGCCATAATTTCCACAATTAATAGTAGTGGCGATGCCATACACCAGATGAGCACTGGGCTCACCCCTACGCAATTCTGAACTGTCCTCGATGTCATCAATCCTGGTATTAATTTGGTATATTTCAATAAACTTGGTTGTAATTTTGGTTATTTTAAATATTTTAAATATTTTTAAAATTATTAATGTAATTAATAGTTACAAGATGGCTGAATTATGCAGTAATTCAATTATTTCTGAGACCAGCAATAGATCCTTGTTCTCCAATTGTAGCCATACATTAAACGCCTAATTCAATTGTAATTCAATTTATAACCATCATCATTTACAATATTATTTCAAATTACTGAACTATTATTGTTAATTTGTAAATACTGTTTGTGACAAATAGTGTATATTGCATTAATTAATTAATTTTGTCGTTAAACAAAAACAAATTACCTTAATCATTTTAGTCCTAATTTGTTTGCCACTATTTCTGACCAAATAATTGTACGGTTCCAACAAATGCTATTATTTAAAACAAGTTATATTTATTGTTATATAAAATTACCAACACCAATAAAACATTAATTTTATGGACATTTAATTACATTTATATTATATTTGTTGTCCTCACACATTGTGAAATATAACGAAGTAATTTATTTTACATATAATCAGTTTGGTTTAATTATTAACTAATAATTATATAGTGTAAATTATGGCATTTTAATTTAGTTTTACATTTACCTGATAGAGTTCTTAAAAAAACATATTTTTAATAACAAGTATTGAATTTCAGTGATTGATAGCTATTTTTATATTTATTGTAATTAACGCTGTAATACAATAAGGTTATTAAAGAAAATTTAATTCGGTAAAAATGCTGTGTGAATTTGATTATAATAAATCATGCTCAAACAACAATAGTAATAATAAAATACCGGTACACTTTGAAAATTTTCAATATTTAATTTATCTAATGATATGCTATTCAATGTCTAAAAGTGAGCGCTACCCTAACCCGATTGTATTTTGTCTGTTATAATACAAAATGAATCACGGTTTAAATGTAAAATTAAAACTTTTACCCTATTTTACAAAGTGATATTTTTGTTCCTCTGAATATAGATTTACTGTTAAATTTAATATACCTGTATTATATAAAGTTTTTAATATATTTTATTACAAGTATGTATTAAGTTTATACAGTACATACAATATTATTATTAATTCAATTAATTAAAATACATTTCACTATTAATGTATTTTTCTGTAGATAATTCATAAAATACATAATAATCTAATAACACCATAGAAAATATTCAACATCTTCATGTAAATAACCCCATAAATGATTAAATTAATTAAATACAAAAATAATATAAAATTTACATAATATATTGATAGCGAGATGTCGTTACAATTGCCTTCTCGTATCGATAATCGCAATCGTTATCGCAAACCTCTCTCACGTTTCCCTTTCCGTTACGACACAGCGTTTGAATCGTCGAAAGCGTGAACATCGCTATCAATCGCTTCCGTATTCCGTCCGTCATTTAGCCGTTATTTAGCCGTCATTTTCGTAATTAATCGTAACTTTTAACGTATTTTTAATCGTATTTTTATAATCGTAAACTCCCGTGTATTTTATCGTAATATTCGCTAATAAATTCGATTCATTCGATTTAATACACTTTCGACTTTCTTCGTAAGCATACAAACGCTTACAAGTGGCGCAATCGCCGTGATATCGAATCTACCGAATCCAACCGTAACCCCGTATACACTCGTCACACGTTATGAATCGAAACCGAAAACCACGAGCGACTGGTATGAGGTTTCCGAGGGCCAGAGCCGCCGGCACTCAACCCAATCCGATCGCAAGCATCGATTATAACGCATTGGCCGCAAGTCTCGCACCGCTTATAATCGGATCGCAAAGCACGTCAGCCGTCACAGCCGCGAACGCACCGCCGCCGCCATCGCAGGCAAATCCGCAGCCGTCATCACAAGCCGTTCAGCCGCCATCGCAGGTATACCCACCGCTGCCGCCATTACAGCCTATACCGCCGCCGCCGTCACAACTACCGCCTCTGCCACCGCTACAGTCGCGCGTGCCGTCAACACAAGCACAACAACCGGCCCCACAACCGTCACTACAGTCATCGGCACCTCCATCGCAACTAAACCCGTCATCATTCAAGTCGTCACGTCTCTTATGCGACAAATATATCGGCTCGTCAGACACCGTCAATATCGATGACTGGGTCGTGATGTTTGAGGCCGTGACATCCGACTACACCGACATTGAGCGTGTCCACGCCTTACCTCGACATCTCTCCGGCGATGCCATCGCATGGTATGCGCGTGAAGTCGCAGGCCTTCTCCCGAACGTCTCGTGGCCCGACTGTAGACAACTAATGATCGACCGCTTCGACATCTTTCGTGGAAATGCTTTTCGCGACGCCAAGAATCGAAAGCTTCGCTCCGCAGAAACCGTTGGCGTCTATTACCACGAAATGAAACGTCTCATGAACTACGCGAAGGTCACCGAAATGAATCAAATTGTTATGTTGGACGACGGGCTCCCCGAGTCCTTCCGAATCCAAGTCGCCGGCCATTCACCGCAAACAACGAAACAGTGGTTTGATATCGCCTCCCGTATCGAACAGGCGAAGTCCACTCGTTATAACCGTAAACCAAACGAAACCGTAAATCACAGCGAAGGCGAAGAGTCACCGCAAGACTCCCGAAACGACCGTCAAAACGTATCATCAAATCGCAAATCATATACGAAGAGAGCGCCGACCAAACCGTGCCCGCACTGTAAATACGATCTCGGAATTATCGAAAACCATTGGCGTTCGGATTGTCCACGTCATGACCAGACGCGCGACACCATACGTCAAACGCAATCTCAACCGCAGACCGCATCTACAGTGGGCACGGGTCCGACGCCTCTCACCGAATCAAACTTCACAACGATCGCTGGATTTAAGTATTACGACGTCTTCGTCAACGATCAACCGGCGCGTTCCTTCTTGGACACCGGGTCCAGAATGACCGTCATGTCCGCCACCGCAGCGACACGAATGGGTCTCACTATAGTCCCGAACTCGTCGATTACCTTCAATCAAGTCTCCGGTTCCGCGAAAACTATCGGACGAATCGACGCAAAGATACGAATCGGAAACGTCACAAGACGTATACCCGTTCACGTCGTCAAAGACTTCGGACACGATATGCTTATCGGAACCGATGCTGCCGAAGAGTTCCAACTCGAAGTCCGCTTCCGTAAACCCATCTCAACCGTTAACGTCATTCAGCCGTTCGTAGGTTTAGTCATTGTCGACGCCTCGACCGAAAACGAACCGTCTATACATCACGTGAGTCGTCACTCACCCGAACCCGTCCGCAAAGTCAACGCATCCGTCCGTCAAAACGAATCTCGTAATCAACGCAAACGTATCGTCACTGAGTCGAGAAACTCCGTTCCGTTCCCATCGATAACTCCGTGTCCGCACTGTTATCACGATCTCGGCGTTCGTGCCTTCCATTGGCGTCGCTTCTGTCCGCACCTTAAGCGCGAAGAGCGACAAACCAGTCAAACACTTCGCCCGGAGATCAACACAATTAAAGTTGCCTCGCGCTCGACCACTTCTTCTCGTAATACTCGTCGCAATCGCTGTCATCGACGCAATCACGATATGAAACACGAAAACACGTCGTTTAATATCGTTGAGCACGACTCACAGCGACAACCGATTGAATCGCATGTCAATCGCAACCGTAATCACGAATCAAGTCGTCCACGAACTCCGTCACCGCCGCAGACATGGAATATGTCATCGCAAGCATCGGAAACCGATCGCAAGCCGTATCCGTCACTATCGCAAAGACCCGAACCGTATCGTTACGCCCGTCACTCGGCCACTACCAGAGCTTTGCCTCCGTCGGCACTGGTAGACGTCGGCCAGAGGGAGGGGAATGATAGCGAGATGTCGTTACAATTGCCTTCTCGTATCGATAATCGCAATCGTTATCGCAAACCTCTCTCACGTTTCCCTTTCCGTTACGACACAGCGTT